TTCGAATTGGGCGACTGGTAACCAATTAACCCAGTCATCTTGCTGATAGTTCGTGTACGCGCGGAGGACTTGTTCCATTGCAGCGTTAGCGTTTTCAGTTTGTCCGTCGGTCTGCGGATGGTATACGGAGGACAATCAGGCTTCGATCTTTAGCTGTTTGCACAGTTTGTCCCAAAAGGCGGAGACAAACTGGGTACCTCTATCGGATACTATTGTGTCGGGCAGGCCATGGTGTACCCAGACGTGTCGGTAGAACAACCGAGCTATGGCTGGGGCAGTTATGGAGGCGCAGGGGATCAGGTATTGGTACTTAGTCAGGCGGTCTACAACAACCATAACGTTTGTACACCCTTCCGACTTGGGTAGGTCAACCACAAAGTCAACGGATAGATCTCTCCAACTTTGTTCCGGTATCGGTAACGGTTTTAATAACCCGTGGTATTTCTCACGCGATGCCTTTGCTTTGCGGCACGTGTGGCAGCAGGAAACAAATTGTCGTACTGTATCAAACATGCGTGGCCAGTAGTATTCACGCTGTAGGATCTCAAGTGTCTTTCCTCTGCCGGGATGTCCACCCACAGGGGAATCGTGTACGTATTGGAGTAGCTTAATCTTCAGTTCATCCGTGTCTGGGATAACAAGTTGGTCTCGGTAATACAGTCTACCATTTAGGTCTTCACAGTCGCTCAGGGTGATCAACTTTGACTGTTGGCTGCCGTCTCGGAGTAGTTTCAGGGTATCTTGAATGAACTCATCGTTTTCGTATTCTTCTTGAATGATCTCCGATATCGTACGGTTAGTTTCGGTCAGGTTCAGTTCCGTAAACAGTCCGGGTCGGAGCAGTGTCTGATTGCGGGCCTGTTGGGCTTCATCCTGAGCTGTAACATCCTGGGATCGTCTAGTCAGGGCATCAGGCTTTTCTCCATCCTTGCCAGGTTGGTACGTTATCGTAAAGTTGAATCGGGACAGGTATTCGGACCAACGTGCCTGTCGGTGGCTGAGTTGCTTAGTGGTTGTAAAGTACTGCAGGTTCTTGTGGTCGGTAAGGACCTGAATCGGATGCGCTGCTCCTTCCAGTTCAGGTCTCCATTGTTCAAAGCAACGTACTATTGCGAGCAACTCTTTATTGTATATCTCATAATTACCCTCAGCAGGGTTCATTCGTTTAGAGAAGTAAGCAATCGGGCGAGTTACACCGCCCTCATCGGTCTGGGATAGTACGCCCGCTACTACGTAGTCGGAGGCATCTGCTTCTACCAGAATCGGAAGGTCAGGGTCGAAGTGTTGGAGTATGGGTGCTTCCGTGAAGGCCTTCTTGAGTTGATCAAAGGCCTTTTGGCAGTCCGTATTGAAGTCGAATCGTATATCTTTCCTAGTGAGCGCTATCAGTGGGCCGACCAATGCAGAGAAGTTGTCAATAAATCGTTGATAGAAGTTTGCAAATCCAATAAAGGCGCGTACGTCCTTTACGTTCTTCGGGTACTCCCATTCTAGGATTGTCTTAATCTTGCCTGGATCCATCCGAATCCCATCCGTAGAGATCACGTATCCAAGGTACGTTACTTTGCTCTTGTGGAATTCGCATTTATCAACGTCGAGTTGTAGGCCGGCCTCCTCCATTGCCTTAAGCACTAGACGTACGTGCTGTTTATGTTCCGATAACGTTTCGCTATATATCAAGATGTCGTCAATATAGGCCGTGCAGAAGAGGTCAAGGTATGGTCGAAGCGTGTCGTATACATAGTGTTGAAACGTGCTTGGGGCGTTGGCTAGCCCAAACGGCATAACCAGGTACTCAAAGAGTCCGTATCGGGTCCGAAACGCAGTAAGCCATTCATCACCCTTGGCTATTCGGAGTTTGTTGAACACGGCGATGATGTCCAGTTTTGTAAAGAACCTAGCCTTACTTAGTCGACTTAGGGTTTCCTGAAGTAGGGGGATCGGATAGTGATTCTTAACCGTTAGGGCGTTCAACCCTCGGTAGTCAACGCAGAATCGGAGGCCTCCTCCTGGCTTTTTAACGAAGATAACGGGTGACGCAACTGGGGAGGAGCTTGCTTGGATAAAGCCTTTGCTTAGGTTCTCCTCGAGGTACTTCCGCAGAACCTTCAGTTCGTTGACAGACATCCCATAGAGGCGTCCATAGCCAGGTTGTTTCCCTGGCTCGAGTTTTATCTGGTGGTCGTAAAGGCGCCGTACCGGTAACTTATCGGCTGCAGATTGGGAGAAGACGTGTAATAGGTCGTGATACTCAGGAGGGACCTTTGTCTTTGGGTTGGTGTGTACCTTAGTTGCCAGGGCCTTATCAATGTCTGCAATGGAGATAGCAAAGATCTCATGATTGGGTCGTCAAGCCAGCATCATGAGCGGAGCTGAGCCAATATGGCAGATGTCTAAGGTTCGGGTGTGGTTCGGAGGGGATTCGGTGCGAAAGGTTGAGGATGCCTTTTCATGGAGTCTTATACTCCGTTTGGATTGGTTTTGGGTGTCGTGTAGGTATCGGCGCAGGCAGACGGCCTGGCATTGGGATGAGTTGAACTTCAGAACTTGGTTCTAGTAATCAAAGGCAACTCTGTGCCGATACAGCCAAGGTTGGCCTAGTATCAGATTGTGTCGTCCAGTATTTGTTACGTAGAGCTTCAGTTGCTCCTTGTGGTGTTGATAGGTAATTGTAACGGAGGTCCAATATGAAATGGAACCTCCTTCAAGTTGTTTTCCATTAAATCCAGTCGGGTATATTGTGCGGGAAAGGGGTATCAGTTGGAGGCTCTGTTTGCGCGCCAGATCTCTGTTTATATATCCCATGCCATTGGCGCCGGAATCGATAAGGGCCCGTACCGTATCCGTAACCCCTCCTTGCTTCAACAAGAAGGGTACGTTTACTTGGTATTCCCAGTCATCAGTCGGAGAGGCTGTCCATGAGTTGGTAGAGATCTGGTGTTGAATAGGTCCCAGAGGGCAACTTATCCCTGGGATGACCCTTTTTGTGTGTTCTTCCTGTTTCTTGAACGGCTCCTATGGGAGCATTGGGAAGAGCTTCGAGAGTACGCGGAGGGTTCGGATCCACTTCGATTGCAATTCGGGGGCAATACAGGATATGAAAGGGTTGGTTCATTGCTGACTCTAACCTGCGGGAGGGGAACGGAGCAGTCTCAAGATATATGACCGTGTTTCCCACATTTGAAGCAAAGCCCTTTCTTTCGTTGGTCTTCTCTTTCTTGAGACCCAGCAGGAGCGTAATTCAAGTCGATCTCCATCGCGTCAGGGTCTTGGCGAATAGTTGTCGTTGTTTGGTGATGATACGGACTGGTTACGGAGGCGGGAAGGTGCCTTATATTATTATCATAGGTTGCGATCAGATTGGCATAAGTGTTAAGATCATTTGGTAGAGACTCGCCCACCATAGCGTGCTGTAATTCAAGGGACAGGGAGTTGCGTAGGGAGGCAATAAGTCCTATCTCATTCAGACCTGTATCGGCGGCTAGTCGTCAGGACTTGGCGAAGTGGGCAGTAAAGCTTCGTTTTCCTTGCTTAAGGTTACCCAGCCTGCTCAAGGCTGTCAGTTCCTTGTTCGGGTCGCCGTAGGTTGCTTCCAGGAATCCAATAAACTGATCTACGTTGCAAATATCAGAGTCCATTAGAGAGTCTATCAGAGAGACTACGTCACGGTCAAGACGTGAGTGAGCGTACAGGAGTCGAGAGCGTTCGGTGGGGAATCGGTCAGCATTTCCTTCAAGCTTGTATTGAAGCTTGCAGATAAACGCAGAGAGGTCTTTCCGCTTGCCGTTGAAGGCAGGTGGATCAGGGAGTCGGTCAAATCTAATTGGTGCCAGTTTGGATGGCAATCAGGTTGTAGGCGGAGTCAGCTGGGAGGGCGAGGAGCCATTCCCAGACTTCCGGGTGGTCTCTAGCGCTGGGGAATCCTCAGTTTCTATAACCACCTTCTTCGGACGGGAGGCGGACTGTTGTATAACAGCTAAGCGCTCTTCAAAGTCCTGCCGGAGAGTAGCCAGATTGCTACGGTGCTGGGCCTCTTGTTGAGCTAGCGTCTGTTGCATGGCCTCGTTGCCAGCCTTAATTGATGCCAGCTCTGCAAGGATCAGTTGCAGCGGATCGGATTCGGGTGCCATGATGGATAGGGGGTTGACACAACGTAATGTCACGAAGATGCTACGAGTAGGCCCTTTAGGAGTCGCTGGGAGTCTAAATCAATTACTACGTACAGTATCTAAGTAGGTACAAGATGTTGTGTACCAAACAGAACTCTACCAGCAATAGTCTATATACTTA